AAATTAGCGGCAGTTCTTTTCAGAATGACGGTTAAAATAAGGCGATATTTCCGTATATGTACATTTATACAATTCAGCTAGTTTTAATTACGCATTTAATTCGCACAGTTTGGTGGAGGGCTGAAGCCCTCCTCGACAACAGTGACTAAAAGTGGTCGGGAAGCATTTGTACTTTATTAGAACGTTATCTTACGCTGATCAATTGTGATTTTCTATGAAACACACACTCACGTCCATACAGGCCACCTTGAAGCATGATAGTGCTATATTAGGCACATAAAAACAGCGCCAATAACGAGGGTCAAGAAAAGGAGACCGACAGCGGCACTGACTTACAACAAGGAACCACGTAATATATACTTGAGCTGTATCTGACAAATAAGAGGAATGACAAACCAAAGAAAACAAAATTCACCCAACAACCTAGTAGTCATTGTGATAACGCGCCATGAATATCAAGTGTGCCAACATTTTGAAGAAAATCTATTTCTTTTTTGTGATAGAGCAATCGGAGGCCTGCTGACACACATAGATTGTCCAGCCTTTCCATTTCTGTGGTCTCATAAGTTTCGCGTATCATCTGATCCCGATAACGCCTAATGACCGTACAATGCTTGTGTTCCCAACTTTCAGCATTGTACGGTCATTGGGCGTCATCGGGATCAGATGATACGCGAAATTTATGGGACCACAGAAATGGAAAGGCTGGGCAATCTATGTGTCAGCAGGCCTCCGATTGCTCTATCACAAAATGAAACAGATTTTCTTCAGAATGTTGGCACACGTGATAATCATGGCGCGTTATCACGATGACTACTCGGTTGTTGGGTGAATTTTGTTTTCTTTCGTTTGTCTTTCTCCTTATTTGTCAGTTACTGTTCAAGTACATTGCGGGGTTCCAGCAAATAAATCTTGTTGTAAGTCAGCTGCCGCTGTCTGCCTCCTTCTTCTCTTGTCCCTCGTTATTGGCGCTGTTTTTATGTGAATAATGTCGTATACCGACTCGCCCAAACAACCACGTTAGCTATATTAGGGTTGTCGTGGATACAGCAACACATGCGAAATACTGCCTAAGAAAAACTTGAACTATATAGCGCACAAACTGCGATGCCATCCGGCGAAATTTATACAGGGCGCCTACGTACGCTTACGTAAAAGTCGCACAGTGAGTGTACGCCAAGCCTCCAATTTCAATTAAAAGTAATTGCGCACTTGCGTCGCCAGTAAAACAAAAAGAGTGAAAGTGACGTAGTCTTTCCGATCGCCATGCTTAGATGACCGTTATATCAAACGAGATTGGTGCAGAAATTGTCGCATGTCAAAACCGCAAGTCGTGATGGTGTTGGTCCTCGTCTGTTAGGCTTACATTAATGCTCAAGTCCACACTCATGACCGTTTAGGTGTGAAGCCGGGGCCAAATATATGACTTTATTCGTCATTCCGCTTTTGACGCGGAGGACATTTCGGTATATAGGATAAAGAGGCATAACTTACACATTTTTTTTTTTCGTTTCTTCTATAAGCAATGAGCTTGCACCCTGGAGTGAGCACGCTCGACGCCACATGACGCGTTCTCCGCGATGACCTTGCAGGCTGCCGAGTGTGCTGACACCGAAACTCGCCACGCCAGGATCGGCATGCAGGACGAGCACGTGTTGTGCATGCGGGGGGAACACAAAACAGCCGCGGCGTAAGTGAACAACGGGCTTGTGATGCCGGCCTGCGTCCGCCACTGAGTGTTCTCTCTGCACAGGACCATGTCGCCGAGCCCGGAACCTCGCGCCGTTCTGGCACCCGTCGCACCGTGGCCCGTCACCGAGAATGCCCGTAAGAACTTCTGTCCCGACGGGCAGTCTGGGGCGTGGCGCGCCCTCTTTTCAAACGTTGGTCACCGACATCGGCTTCACAAACAGCGATTCAATTGAATGCTTGTGGCCCTCGCAACTCTCGTTCACACAACCATTTGAACATTCTATCAAACGTGTTCGATACTTACCTGCAGGTCGCGGAATTGAATTCCGACCGCATTTTCGGTGCAGGAGAAAATGCACGAGGCCCACGTGCTTGAATTTAGGTGCACGTTACAGAACCAGTGGCGTATCAAGGGGGTAGCACACCTGACTAAGCCCGTCATACGCGCCCTCGTTGTCTACGTTTATTGTGTTGCTCTTCAAAAGGAAAACTATGGCGCTGGAGAATTTTCGATGTTGGGCTTTTCGTTTGTAGGCGCTTGGAACCACGGTGTCACGCGCGTCGTATACGTTGTCAGCATATTTTGACGTGCACAATATTTCTGAGTTTTCTTTGTCACTGTTTATCACCATACTACCCCTCCTATCCGGCTGTCACCCGGCTAGATAGTCCAAAAAGTCTAATCAGACTCCGTGCGTCATGCGAATTATGCACGCCCTTGAAAGCTCGTAAACACCAGTGATTTCGTTTTCAAGAAACGCAGTGCTCATCCACGCGAAAACATTTTGTTACTTCATTGTTTATTGTTAAGATATTTGAGATGAATCTTCACTAATCTCTCAAATTCCTGATTACGTTTTCATCGACCGACGAACTCCAACGTGTGTCTAACATACTTTAAAAGGGAGCGGCTGCTGGAGCTCCAGAATCCACCACCGGTTCATGAATGTCTTATCACAAAGTTCAATCTGCGTCTTTCGTATTACTTAAAGAAAGATTTTCTCTCTGCAGACGTTCCATGTATAGGGCAAATCGGGACGCGTGGTAGCTCTCCACTTTTTCTTCTTCTGGGGGCCAACCTTTCTCAGAAACACTGTTTGAGCTTTTGTTTTAAATGCTGCGGCACACACTAACCTTGCTTCTCCAGCATCGTAAATATTCAGTTAAAATACCGAAGGCAACGATGTAAGGTTGTCGCCGGGGTCGGGGGCAGACAGGCGGGCCAGTATGTCAATTTATGAACATTGTCTTCGGCGATTTAGTTTATAGCAGTCGTTATTCGGAAATACGGATACTTTCCCTAAAATTTCACGAATATTTAGAAAGTATAAAATGTCGCTTGCAGCGCGGTTCACTCTTACAAAGTACTTATGCCTACTCGGCAGGCAAACCGTGAAGCCTTGGAATATTAGCGGATATATTGTGCAGTGTGTATTTAGGTCGGTACAAAACAAAATGCAGGTGTATTAATGCACTGCACAACAGCTTTTATGCTATTGCAACACTGATTGTTGTTGGCGGGCCAGTTGGTAAACAAGCGAGAAACAGCGCGCCTAGACGGGACAAAGTTACGTGTGCTGCGTAAGTGTGGTCCTTGTAACCTTTTCTTCCGTCTGAGCACGCTATTTCACTCTTTTTATGCTATCTATTCTGATTTTAAGCTGCCGTAGCAAGCTTTGTTTCCACAAGTGAAACTTCCAAAGAACTCACCGCATACGACGCTGCGAAGACAGGTCCAAGCCGCTGGTTGAACTGACTGCTTTGATATTACCAGCTGTTTTAAAACAGGCAGATGACGCGTCATATTATATAGAACTTAACAGTTTTCCTGTTTAACTTTTTTTTTGCAATTCCGTCTTTTGTAAAAATACACATGAAATAACGCACCCTCTTCGAAAAAAAAAAAAAAAGCTAGGCTTCAATTTCTCTTTATGCAAGTAAGCCTAACACTATAGCTCGGCAATTTCTATTAAAATTTAAGATATAGAATTTTACAAGATAAAACCGAAGTTTGCCGCCCCGATTCCGTAATGGAAAGCGAGAGCGAAAATTTGTGAATTGTGCCTAATAATATATTACGCATTGATTTAAATTAGCAATAATGCATGTCAATTTTACTATGCGCCCGCACACAGCAGTGCAGTCAGGCAGTGGCACACGGTGACCGTGCCACCCACCTCCCCCCTTAGCAAAAAACAAGTTTCTACCTATGCCACTGCGTCCGCACAAGCACTGTAATAACATTCACGTAAGCTATAAGAAATTTCCACAGTGTCAAATGGGTCCGCTGCCGATACTTTAAACAGAACCATGCGGTATCTGTTCCTAGAACACAGCAGCAAGTTTGTAAAGTTTCCTGTTAGTTTTTCCCAATATATCGAAAAACAAAATACACGTCCCAAGTCAAAGCTCTGTTCCAGGAGAATTTATTTTTTCTGTCTGAGATGCAAATAATTTCATGCAAATTCGTCCGAGGGTGCCTCGTTTGTGATCATGTGGTATACGAACAGTGGGTTAACTTGCCCGCCGCACGAATGGAATATGTGCTGCATCCTTCAAGAATATTGCACGAGCGATATGGGTCACTTGGAATAGGCTGTTGACAAAGACATATGGAAGATGACCAGTGACGTTAATAACTGCGTAATTATTTTTTAAGTGCACCACTGAAAGGGGTGCGGTGGACAGCGCAGAAGACGACCTGTATTAGACCTGGATTGATGTTCAAGGGGGGGGGGGGGGGGCAAAACCACGATCTGGTCACGAGGCACACTCGGGATGAAGTTCGACCACCTGGGCATTTTTCGCGTATCGCTGCTTGGAAATCCAATGTGTAAGAAGGTGAATGCAGAACGACAAGTGGAATAAAGCGCAAATGTGTTCCGAGTGAGAAATCGGCAGATTCTTCATTTTAAAAATTGAGAGGGTGTGAGAGCTGATGCACTGGATCGAATTTGAAAGGTCACGAGCTTCCCGTTCTCTAGCTGCCGTTGTTACTTTTAATGAGACAAGAGACATAAGCCGGAGGTGAAAGAAATATTTTTTTCGCCCCAGCTTTCGGGAACCACCGTGTGCGGTGGCCCCAATACGAGCACTAGTGGAGATGGTGCGTCCGGAATGTTCAGGGTTGGTGTGGTCGGGCCGGCGCGTCTGGTCTGGCACGCTGCTTCTTGCTGCGACTTCTCGGCCGTCGGGTACGGACGGCGTGGACGCGTTCGGAGAGCAACGATAGGCGGCGCCCCACTACCCGTCGGAGTGACGGGATTCGTTGACGGCCCCACGAGCTATCTTGCTTGCGCAACGTGGGGCGCCATTTATGCCGACCCTCTTGGACAGACCGTCAGAGCAGCTCCAACTGTTGCCCGTGCGTCCCATTCGTCCCGAGGTTTATCCGCGGTACTTGATCTCCGTTCTATACTTCGTCGAGGCTCCGGACTTCGTTTTCAAGAGATCAACATGAGGATGAAAGGTTGGCCCCTTTATCTCCGGGTTTGTCGTGGCAAATCCGCACGTGCGGATGCGTTCTGTAAACTTCCCATGCTGAAGTGTCTACGTTTTCGGGCACTGGAAGCAGTGGTACCAGTTCAAGCTGGCTTTAATGTGCGACAATATAATGCCTGCTGTTCCCGGCGCGAGGTGTTTTAAGAGAATTAGTTGCCACTACGACGTGACTGAGGACGAATTTTATATGCGTCATATATCCGCGTATGTTTGGCTAACACGTGTGTTCACGTTGGCGCCTGTTGAACGAGCGAACGGAACTTCATCAGTGGCGTAGAGCATCCGCGCTGTGACATTCGGCACTAAACATTGATACTTCACGTGGCAGACACGTGGGTTCGAATAATCAACTTTCGGGAAAAGTGCAAAGCTGCGCCGTGCGGTGTCATGCATGGATGCGAATACGTGTAAATTTTCGTCGAAACGTCTAGAGCTAGTTCAAAACATTGTGAGCGTCTCTCAATGTGTGAATGAAAAGTGTCGTTCTTTTTTTTTTTTCCTCAATGCCCTGCGGGTTACCGCGTTCTACGCTTAAGTTACGCGAACGAATTCGTGTACGCAAGCGCCGCAGCTAGCGCACATTGCCGTGCTGCGGCCGACGCCCCCAGCTTCCAACTCTGTGGCTTGTGCTGCCATCTGGTCGTCACTCACGCAGTTCGAATCTATTGTCGCTAGCAAACTGGCATCCTGGGACATTGTTACCGGCGAGCATTTACCATTCTCCACGGCCCTCTGCACGCTGCGTGTTTAGTGCTTCGTCGTCCTTATTTACTTTCATCTGCCTCATCACATTTCATTGAAATGTACAGCATCGTCAGCCGTACAGGTGATATTTTTTTCTCCGTGTCCCCGGAATGAATGAATCGATTAAATGCGTCTCGCCTCGACTTGTGTGTCAGTCAGGTATGCATACGTGGAGCTCTGCTCGGGCTACTGTAGTGTTAAAATGCTCGGTATTACAGCCACGTGGGCTACGGGTACTTCTGCGCAGTAATGTGGTCGTTGTAGTGGTGCCGTCTCATAGTATAGCTCGTTTTGCCTTCCGCAGGCGGCCTGTCCACCTTGATACACATGTCGGCCCTGCGCCCGCTTGTCATATGTGGGCCATCCGGTAGTGGGAAATCGACACTGCTCAAGAAGCTGTTGAAAGACTTCGGCGATTATTTCGCCTTGAGTGTGTCCCGTGAGTATGGCAGTCTTTGTTGGTACAGCCTAATACGGTTCCTTTGGCCACATTTCTTTGGCGATGCGGACTACGCGGTGCCTAAAAGCCCTGTATTGTGGCTTCTTTTTATTGTGTACTTCAGATACCACCCGGAAGCCCAGGCCTGGTGAAGTGAATGGCAAAGGTAAGGACGATGTGTGTGCAATGTCGGCTGGTACAAAGGCGTGCATAGACATGTTCGTGATTGCTCGTTTACCTTTTTCAGACTACCATTTCATATCGCGGGATGAAATGGAACAGGCCATCGAGGCGGGCGAATTCATCGAGTACACGGAGTTTTCGGGAAACCTGTATGGCACGAGGTAAGGCTGTGCCCCCCCCCCCCCCCCCACTTTTTTTTAGCCCTGATGAGCATGTCTAAAATGGGACCATCTTTCATTTTGTGCAGCAAGAAATCCGTTCGCGATGTGCAAGAACAAGGGCGAATCTGCATCCTAGACATTGAAATTGAGGGTGTGAAGAACATCAAGAACACAGATCTGAATCCCCGCTACATCTTCATCAAGCCTCCAAGCATGAAGGCCCTTGTAAGTCTCCTATAAATCTTTTAAAGTAAGTTTCACTGCTGCTATTCTTTTACATCTTGTAGCGCCTTATTTATTTATTTTTCTGCTAGTTTGGAACTTGTGCCTTTCAGGCAATGCTTTGGAATGCCAGGTCAGTCCTATAAGTGTCTTGTGTAGGATGTGTATGCACTGGATTTTTTTTTAGTCTATATGTTACACATGCGAGCTGCTTTTGGGTGCCTCGGTGAAAATTGTTGCATTTTGGGCGGTTCGAAGTGTCCTAACCTGAGCTACAGTGCTCGTGACCCTAACCTTCTTTAGCAAATGCTTTACGGGCTTTGCATAAATAATAAGAATATGTCTTGGCAGTATTTTGCACCCACTTTTTTTTTGCACGAACCATGTCATAAATTTTCAGCTCATTCCTGGCTTTGATTAGTTCTATCGTCAATGTTGTGCCACCATATATATAAACTATTTTTCGTGAGACATCTGGGCGCCACCATCTTGGGCTGTGAACCCGACATTTTCTTGTTTTTGTATATCGCAGTGTGAATTAATAAGGACATGAAACAGTGCATGCACCAACCCTGACCGTTTTCATGTGTGCGCCTAACGTAACACTGTTCGTTTAGTTGTTAAGATACAAAACAATTTGGTAGCACCCAAACCCATTCATAAGATAGTCGACACATGGTATGACAGTGTTACAAGTCTGATTGACCGTACATTTTGAATTTTTACTGCACACTTTTCTTTGTTCGATTTTATTCCCTGTCCAAGTTGGCTGGTGGTGAAGTGTTACTGTATGGCGTGGTGAAGTGTTACTTGGGATAGAAGGCTCTTGTCCTGTGCTGCGACTGGTTTCTTGGTACTTAACACACCTGCATAACTGAAGTTCCATGAAAATAGTGTTTGTAGCAAGTTGCTGATGGTGCTTATTTTAAATATTGTGGCTCACTCCTCAGTGTTTAGTTGTTTACACCAATTGTTCAATGAATTTGTATAATTGGTGCCTACTTACTTTACCTTTTCTTTGATAGTTTTGCATAAAGTGATGGATGATTTTCAAGCAGCTGCTTATGTTAATTAACCCGTCGTCATAGAGTAAGCACACTGAGTAGGGGACATTTGCAGTTGGTGTTTGTACATTGAAAAGTGGACTTTTGAAACAGCTTTAATTATCAAAATTAATGTGGACAAGCTTTCGAAGCTGCTGCTCTTAACCACTAATTCCACTTTCTGACCAGTGTTGGAAACCCATCTGATGTTTTGTCTTTTGTATTTTCTCCTCCTTCCTCACTCCCTGCTTTCCAGGAAGAGCGGCTCAGGGGTCGGGGAACAGAAACTGAGGAGAGCTTGCATAAACGCCTGGCAAGAGCTAGTGAGGAGATTGCCTATGGTATGTAGTTCGAGTCTTGAGTATCAGAATTTTTTTGTAAATAATTTTAAGATTTGGGAAGAATTCGAACAACTAAATACGTTTTGCACAGCATTGTTTACAAAAACTTGGGATTTCACTATCTTAGTAGTGCGTACGGCACTGAATTGTATAGCTGAATGTTTTTGTGGCTTGCAAATCGCTGATGGTCATCCTTGGAGGTTGCATGTATGTCAAAGTCCTCACTTGCACGGGGCATCTAATTAGTATAGGAGTCTCTTGTATTAAAAGTACAGGTACTGAAGTACAGCTGCAATACTTGTGTATTGATCTCGGAAATAGGTGAATGAATGGCCCCGCCATGGTGGTCTAGTGGCTAAGGTACTCGGCTGCTGACCCGCAGGTCGCGGGTTCGAATCCCGGCTGTGGCGGCTGCATTTCCGATGGAGGCGGAAATGTTGTAGGCCCGTGTACTCAGATTTGGGTGCACGTTAAAGAACCCTAGGTGGTCAAAATCTCCGGAGCCCTCCACTACGGCGTCTCTCATAATCATATGGTGGTTTTGGGACATTAAACCCCACAAATCAATCAATAGGTGAATGAATGAAATATTCATTTACAGGAATGTATAGCACTGTGTACAGGTACTGTCGGTGAAACATTGGGCCTAAATTTCTAGTCAGGTTTGCCCAACAAAGTCGATCTCTGTAAATTCTAACAGACAGTCTTCTTTGTTTTACGTGAGATGGGACTGGGAGATCCCACTTTACAAAACTGGTGGGAATGACATGTCTGCCAACTCTCCCGATTTGGATCCGGGGGCCTCTCGAATTTCGGCCTAATCTCCCAATTGTACGATTGCTATCAGAATATCCCGAAAAGTGGCTGTTACAGCAGAGGCGTTTATTTAATCACGCTTGCACGTCAGCTTTTTCTGCTACGACAGTTGCAGGGCTGCGCTAGAACACTCGTCACTATACTTATAGTTTATTGTAACTATACTCTATAATACCACTAAGTATATTCTAGGCACTCTAGTACCGTGCATCTGAGCAAAGGCCGGCAACCCCAAGACACACTCGCCACCGTACCGAAAGAAGGCGAGGTCGCTTGAACCCTCCCGCATTTTGTATGCTGTGCTTACGCCACTTGTAGTGTTTGCTATGTGGTTGTAAGGGTTGTGTGTTTCTGCGAGTTCAGTTGGAAGGCTAATGGCGGGATTAAAAGCAAAGAAGAAGCACTTGCAAGTTTGTTTGGACTTGTACGCAATTAAGTTTCAGGGCTTTGTGACTACGCGGAACGGTTGCAAATACAGATTCTGTACCACATGCCCCTGCCTGTAGTGTAAGCGTTTCAAACGGTGGCAAGGTTGACACGTTTGCACAAGCATCAAAACTGCATTCATGCTGCGGAAGGGCAAACGAACATAGGAAGTTTCTTCCAACAAACCTGTGAAGATAGCACGATTCATGCAGAATGCCTATTTGTGGTATTTCTTGTTTGCTGCTAAGTGTAAGTGATCCAGCAGGATCATTGTTTCGTGAAATGTTCCCGAAGTGCGGGGACGTGAAGCGATATGGGTGTGGACGTTCTAGAACAGCTGCCATCTTCTGGGAAATGGCTTCGGGTGTTAAAAGCACAATGGTGGAAGCCCTGAAACGCCATTCTTTCACAATGGCAGTGTACGGAAGTGCAACGGCAGAGGATAGCAAATGTCAATGTTGCAGTGATTTCCGATATAACCCCCCCCCCCCCCCCGCCCCCTTCTTGCGGTCACCCAAATTTTTATGCTGAAAGGTGGAATAAAAAAGTTTGACGTGGTCCAGGCAGTATCTGCAAATGAAGTATTAGTGGATTCTGTAAAATCTGCAGTTCTATAATTTTTAGAATACCAATTGGGCGTAGCCTTCGGCAAACATAGACTATAGGTGTGCACAAGTTGCCTGAAGATGTGGAGCAGACAAATGCCACTCCCGTGGCATTTATTTTGTTTCATTTTTACCTTAGTCTTAGCCAAGCCATAAATATTGCTTGCCATACCGTTATCTTTTGAATTCAGTGATTTTATTGGAAAGAAAGTTGAGAAAGGGCATTCAAACATTCACTCAAAGATGCTACAAATGAACAGAGACATAGGTGTGTGCTCAAAACTAGTTGCAATAATGTAATAATATTGAGCTATTCAAGGTAGACTTAGGAATGCCTTCCTCAGCCTATTTCTGGATGATGAGTATGCACAGTATTTGTATAAGCATATGTATAAGCCTGCAATGGTGAAGCTTCCAGCATGCTGTTTAAGGGGTGATGGATAGCAAAGACAGGTGTGCAACTACTACTGCCCATGGCTCTTACTTTCAAAGCAAGCTCGAAAAAAATTTTGCAAATTAATTGATTGGAGAGTTTACTAGATATTTTTTCAATTTGGCAAGAAATACAAAGCCACTTTAAAAACAATAAAAATTAAATCGTTTCACTATTTTTATTTTTTGAAATAATGTTTGTGAGAAAAGGTTCTGCATGTAACGTGGTGAAGTATCTTCTGGTTAGTACATGTGCCCAGGGTATCCTTCTGAACCCAAATAATAATTGTAGGCATGGCCGTTCTTTATATATGAAATTCGATGTTTGATTAATAGACTTCTACGGCTTTTTTCATAAATAAAAGCTTTTGTGAAAAATACGGTTTTGATGGAAACATCATTCTTTTGCTTTAAAAAGGGTGCATGTTATTCAGAAAAAGTGACAAAAGTTCGCACTTCATAGCTGCAGTGGTTACAGAAAAAATGTTCCTTTTTTCATGAAAAGTAGTGCGCCATTAAACGTTTGAGTTTTCAAGGTGTAGTCATGGGATCATACGCATTTGGAATCATTTTTAAATGCTTTTCACTGCACGCAAAATGTGCCACTCATGGAAGCACTTCTCAATAATGCTTGAGTTTCGTGCCGAGAAAATTGAAAAAGTGCGTGTTCAGTCGATTTTGCCGTCCATCCCCTCTTTACAGGCTTGAGTTTCGACACCCTGTGTAATGGAAAGGACTCCTGTACTAAATAAAATACTGAATTAGTACAGTTGATCTGGCAGTGAGCCTGTACCATAACCAGGAATTAACCTTTCCTAAACAGTCTCACTGCTTTGGCATGCCCCTGGTGGCTGAGGCTGTGGCCGAGAGCGAAAAATAAGTTTTTTTTATTGTACTATAGCGGGTTTGAATGCATAACAGTAGTGCTAAAAAGAAATAATGTTGGTTTAAAAGTACGACCGGTGTGGCTTTCCATAGTGCTTTACTTATTTTTGAGCCACTGCTGGTGAAGCTTAACACTTCGACATAGGAAAGTGAGTTTGGTATATGCCTCCACTGTTGAGTGAATTCTGCAACAGTGGTCACAAAGAGCTCCTGTGTGACAGCGTGTGAATGACACTGGAAGTGAAGTGCACCATGTTTGCCCTCGTGATGGGGATATTAAGATGGAGTGTCGTCATTAAGCATGAGCTCATTCAGTCGCAGTCTTCATCAAAGACTGCACCATCTTAGCAATTTTGTAATTTTTTTGAAAAGAAAGCATAGTAATTGTGACCTACATTGTCAAATTGTAAACATCCTAGGCCAGGTCAAAGATAAGAGGACTCAACTGTGCACGACTCATGTTTGACCCATTTTCTGTGCCCCAAGTGCTGCTAAGAGGGAGTTTGCCTCACCCCTGTAACAATTGTTAGGGTTGGCTGCCACTTGCTTTCAGCCACGCTTGCATTATCTGGTGGCACCTCGTTTTTTAGTTAATTATTCAAAATGCCTTACAAGCCGATTAAATGGCACTGAGTAAGGGGACATCAGTATATACATTGCAAAAAAAAAAGACAAAAGTAAAAAAAAGTGCAGGGAAACAAAAAACAAATGATAAACCGCAAGGTGCAAGTAAAACGCAATGAGATCAGGTTATCACGAAAGGATTCATAATTAGAGATGGATATGATGTGATTTTGATCGCCGTTTTAATGTGCTATGGCTCGAGGTAATGGTGATTAGTCAAGTTCCAGTGTGTGACCATGAATACACATGAAACTACATGCATTGTGAATGCGTCGAGATGTGCACAGAGGGACATGAAGCAGCAAACAGTGGCACTTGTTACTGTAGATTTATTTATGATATAAACATAAAAGGGCAATGTCGCGGCATTGATCCAGTGACATGAAAGCAAGGTCTTGGTTTATTGGGGTGACGCTTGAGGGATAGTCACTGTTACCAGCTATCCATCTTGCAATTTCTTGATTGATATAATGAAAGTTCACTCCAATAGAAATGTTTATACACTGGTCAGTGGTTATCGACAATATTGAATTAGCCGGAGTGAGTGAGACAGGGTCTACTGTAGTGTAATAGAGGCATGCAGTAACCACTACGCTTTTGGCAAAGGCATTCAAATATAAGTGGTGAAAGTGGAACTGCATTCCAATTTATTTGGAGAGATGTGTGTGACATAAACTTCGTCTTTTGAGGTACATCTTTTAAAATAATTTAACGAGTTTACACATAGTAGAGTACAACAGTCATTTCTAGCAAAAGATGTCTGCTAGTTTGCTAATGTGAAGCATTGCCTCTAAAGCTTGAATATCCTAAAATCCATGAACGATGCTTATGCACACATTATTATGACAAACGGTTGGTCTGGCTATTCCTGCTTAGGTGATACCTGAAAGAAAATGTCTCTAGCCCAAACTTAAAAAAAAGAAAAGAAATATGTTCAAGAAAAAGTTATCGTTTCCTTCTTTGGCACATATATTCTTTTGTAGCTGCATGCTACAAACCTGTACTTGCACCAAATGCATACGAATTTGTGCGAAGTTAGTGTCCATTTCCATTATAGCTTAGGGCTACAATGGGTGGATGGGATTTGTATATTGTTGCTCTAAATAACACTGGTGCAAAAAAAATGGTAAAAAGAGTATCCTAGTGCCTCGGAATGCATTTGATATATTTTTAATACTCCTATCTTAAATAGTGTTGGTTATGATATCAGGGGGGTGGTTTCACAGTGAAATGTGAACATAGCGGATGTAGGTCCAAGTCTCATGGGGACAGCAACTTGTGGTGTATACTAGCGGCAGCTCTCTCATCTGCTGTTGGTTGCAAGTGTTGCACATGAACGTCGATGAGTGAATTTTCATTCAGCAACTCTGACAGTGACTTCAATGAAGGTGTTGACTCACCTTGGTAATGTCCATTGTGGTCGGGCTGGTGTGCAGATGCTGAGTGGCAAAAACTTAAGAAGTATTTTACATGTCTTTCCTGGCTTCTTTGTGTGCAGAGCATTGACACTGCACGCCAAGTCAATGAAAAAAACGTGGCTGATCCTTCTGTCTGAAAATCGGTACATATAACGCAAAGGTGAAACAGTCTCCACAGAGGTATTAACTGTCACAGCTCTACACTTGAAGTGCGCTGCTCCAAGAAGAAGACTAAAAAAATGCACACGTATACACAGGATGATTGTGAACAGCTGTCGCAGTTCTTACTTCTACGTGTGTGAGCAGCACGCTCCTTTTGTGAACGTGGCCGTGGCAGCAAGCGAAGTGACCTTCATGCTCTCTTTAGTCATCGCATCTTCAAAGCGAACTTGAGGGGAAAGCACACAAAGTATAAAGCATGTAAATCCCGAGATAAGCATGCACTTGTGAGCAACCATGCTCTGTGGAGACGTGCGCACACTTTGCAACGCATGGGGCCCAACGTGTGCCCTTCATGCCATTTAACTGCTGATGACAACAACTCGCTGAAGTTACTGAGCTCTGAGGACCGGCAATGGTATATGGTGTACATAAATAGCTCATCATTAATTGGCAAGCTGCATCGTGCGCTCTATGGCCTAATGGTTTCAAGCCGCACACTGTGGAGCGAGGGGTCGTAGGTTTGACGCCTGGAGACGGAACGTTTCTTTTTTTTTTTTTTTTGCAATGTGTTAGTAGATATGTTACAATCTCATATCCGTGATGGAAATGCATCAGCGGAGCCGTGGTGGACCCCAGTATAAAAGACTTTCTTGTTAAAATGTCCTTTTTGCAATGCTCAGAATCATGTCAGTACTCCTTTTTAAAAGAGGAACCTCGTTTCACCTTGCTGACATTCGCATAACTGTTTTGCCATATGTGAATTTATATTGGAATACACATTAGTCTCTTTTCCAATACACCAATATGTTAAGGGACACTAAAGGGTAAAACGCTCTTTCGCATATTTGTAAAGTACGATTTTACAATTGCGAAAACGCCACTGTTACTGCGACATGACACTTGGAAAGTGACAAAACGCACAAAAAAAAAGAACTGCGGATGGGAATTCCATCTTACTATTTCCGCACTAAACACTGTGTTGTCAATGTTTTAAGGTAGCTACTGGGTCCTATGTAGCTTCTAATCGATAAAATTGAAGTACATTGTAATCTGTGGGTGCGATGGACTTCATACAAAGCCTCGGAAAATTTTATCGTGCCAATGTCATGAAAAAAAAAGAAAAATACATTATGGAATTTCTTATGTCAAGCGGAGATCACAGTGCGAAATTTAAAAATGGAAACTACAATCTTGATTTTTTCCACTAATAATGAACTTATGAGAGTGAAACTTGTGACATCACAGAGTTCTCGGAGTGTAGTTCATCAATCTAAAACAACTTATTGTTTCTCTTTAGTGTCCCTTTAAGTTTGTGGCTAAAGTTTAGCTGTTGTTTGAGATCTAATGAAGAACTAAATCTAATGCTGTTAAAAGAGTTTTTGCATTTTAGTTGCCATACTTTGTCAACATATGTGTGTTGCATTTTTTCTAATTTGCAGGCGAGAACCAGGGCAACTTCGACCTTCTACTAGTCAATGACAACCTCAAGAGTGCATACAGCAAACTCCGAGATTACCTTATAAAGGTGAGATTTTTGTACTGCACTACTTTGCATCCAAACCTCTTTTTGAGGCTAAATATTTGGCATGACATGATAAGCATGGCATGCTTATGGGTCATTGCATGTTTCTGTGCTGTACGTTTTTGGAAAAGGCCCCCCGCCATCATTTTTACTGCACTATAGGAGGCATTCAACAAGCTGCCAGAGTTTGTGACCATCAGTGAGGATTCAGCACCGTCCTTATGATCTAATGGATGCCAACACCTGAAGGACAGTTTGTGTGGAATAGAATACACCACCGCAGAAGCTGCCAATGCAGCAGACCATTTTACATTTTCTCAGAGAAAGTGGACTGTTCCCTCTGTGGCTTCAGAACCAAAAGAACTGTCCACTTGGGAGACGCAGCCTGCCAGTCTTTGAGTGTAACTGTGATTTGCCACAATTGTAATGATTCAGTATGTTGGCATTGCTTCTTTGTTTCCTAACTTGTCATGTTGCTCACGCTGGTGACAAGTGTGAACTGCCAGATAGGTCACTCTTTTCCTGTTTTAATGTAACTGTCACAAAAATTGTTTACCTTTTACCATTGACCCTGCTCATTGTAAGATAGGTGCAAAGCTTTTTTGTGATTCGGCAAAAACTTGCTCTGGCTTAGTGCTGTAATATTGTTCTGCTCTCATGACTTATTTATGCACATCATCACTTATTTGTGTTGCTTGTCTCATTTCACTTCCTGCTTATTTGTTGCTGTGTTGCTGCTACTTGTTCAGACGTGTATGAGCAAAATAAATATTTAAATATGTCACAATGACAATTTGGTTTTGTCTTTGGCTCCAGTCATTTAAAATTGCACAGGGCAGTTGTGCGCTTTGTACTCTTGACTACCAGGATTGGCTCAAGCACTTCTGGCTTGCAAAGTGCTCTCGCAATTTGTATCCAACTGGTAAACTTGGCACACTTTAGATGCCTGCTGATCAGTTCTCTCTTTTTTTCCTTCTTGCTCTCATCTCGCTTTCTGGATTGGTAGAAAGCACTTCCGAGGCTGAGCTTGTTTGCACAGTATAGTTTCATTCATGTGGCATGTGCAGTAGCACTTGTCTACCATTCGGACAGTGTTGAACTTGCTTCATACAAGGAGCTTTGTGAAGACAACCTATCATTTGTCAATTATCTGAAGAGTGACAGTTGTACTGACAAAGATGCAAGCAGTTGTGGAGTCACTGTTGCACATTTACCAAGTCAGCATTTTTCTGGTAGCTGGCTAGATTTTAGACAACTTGATGTTCACCGGTACTTCTGTTCTCTGCCTTTTACGAGTGTCTCGTCTGCTTTTGCTAGTTTGTCTCCATCAAATAGAATACTTTTTGAGTTATCCAAATAAGTATGGCTAGTTATATGGAGAATGCATTCAAAAACAGTGCACTTGTTATAGTACACATTGTCATAGTATAGCAGGGTATTTGATGGGAAATGAATATTAGCAACATTGATTAAAAAGGGCCTATATTCAAAACATTCTCTTGCAAATTAACACAGTTAGCCTAATTAGGCAGTTCTGGTAAATGAGTTCAACAGATAAGCAGCTTGTGAATGCTTCCTTTGTATACTTGAATCCTATGCGATGAAATCGTCTGTGCAGCAGTTCAGCTCTATATTCTGCAGTGGTAAGGTTAGTAAAGTGGTGCAATATATCGTGGTGGAGCAACATTATGACAAATGTTAGATAGGTGGGCTAGCGGGTGCCGTATTTTTGTATGTAGTGCTGGAAAAAGGGACTTGTCTGTTGCCGCCATTAGGTTGTGTCTCATGAGAGAAAAGAGCCTAATGTTCCATCTCTCCATGGACTAAGAGTATTGCATAGAAAAAGCACTCCTGTTATGCAAAACTCTTGTGCAGTACTCATGTTTCCTGCCCTCTAAATTTTTTGCGAAAAATTGGAGCTAGTGTTTTTGGATTCCTACATGTTGTCTCCCACATTTTGTTATGAAAGTGTTTAGTATCGGGTGCTCTTTCTACATGCGCAATAGACCTTATATTCACTACACATGAAATGCACCTTCCTTAAACATACAAACATAACTAAGCTTAACACCTCCCCCTCCTGTGTAAAAAAATTTCTGGCTATGGTGGTGTTCGGGAGCTCCCTAGGAATCGTGAATAAGTCATTTAATTCAGTGTCCTTTTGTTTTTTAATTTTGCTGCAAAACTTTTCCAGCAAAGGAGGTTTATGAAACTCGCTTAGATTTTTTAAGTGTAAGGCACTACGATGTCAATAGACAAAGGCACCATTGCAACTGTGATGCTTGGATTGGGAACAACACTTTAAGGAGATCCCAATGAACTAGAAATATCCGATGTAAGAATGGCACACTGGGCGTGTTGGTTTCGCATATTTGAAGAATAAGGCACGATGACGACAATGTCGTTGTGCCTCTGTACATTGCCGTTGTGCCCTAAAGATAAGCTAAATCAACACTCTCGGTCTGCAATGCTTACAGATTCATTTCCTTTGTGCTAAAAAGGTCATCGCATTGTTACAAAAAGCCCGCCCACATTTTCATGTTTGTGTTTGACAGTTAGTCATTGCACGTGGCACTTCATCCACTCAGGTTACCAGGTTAAACAGATTTTTTAACTATAGTATTTCCTCATGCAGAATCGTGTTCGCATTCTGCATGCAATGCCCTGCAGTATGAAATACCGCCTTTAGTAGTGATGCCACCGACAATACATTAATTTTAGGCCTGACACATTGATAGTATTGCAAAAAAAGCCACTGAGGGCATACAGAATGACACTTCCCCCTCCTTTTTTTTTCCTGAGGATGTCAGCAAAACTAAGAGCTCTGCATTGTATTGCAATAAGGGTACATCTGAAGAACCATAAGTTATATGTACTGTACACTGACTGTTTTGGGTGTGTTTAGAACATGTAGAGCTTTTCTGCACAAATATATGGCAGCACACCATGCAAAGCTTTACAGCAGTGCCTCAAAATAGATTCCATCATCACTTGAACAGTTTTGAAGTTAACTAAAGCAGTGGCATCGATTCAGTGGTAACGACTTCAAGAAATGCATTGTAGATAGATGCTGGGCAACATAATTTAGCAGGCCTTATGCTTGTGCTATCATGTGTAAGCACATTTACAGCTAATAATACCCCTTTCAGTCGCAATGTGTACAATTGTACACGCCAACTTCAATGGCATGTCACACACTACACGTTTCTTTTATGACTTGAAACTTGGTGTGCAGGTTCCTTCAGGCTTCTTTTCTGGACAACTTTCAATCCTTTAACTTTCTTATGCTGCGTATCGCTGCAGATGATCACTTTGCCAGATACACTGCCATGTTCGACGATTCTTCCGAGGTTCCACGTCCCAGAATAACTAATACAAAAAAAACTGCATGTATTTCCATCCAAATAGTTTAATTTCATGCAACTATAGAAGCTTACTAATGGAAGGATAATTAGATATGTAGTTACACACTAAGTAAGTTTAAGTCTTTAATGCCTGAATTATTAAACATCTGAACAAAATGTAAATAGTTTTTAAGTTCCAGCTTTAAGTAACATCTTTTAATTGATTCTGCAGTTAAAAATTATCTAAAATGCAACTTTAATGCATACCTTTAGGTATGTTGCAAATTTTCTATATGTGACACAGGCGAGAACATTGCTACGAAACACGCTTCATAACTACGTAACATCTCGGGTGGCACATCTTGGGTGCTTACACACCAAGTAAACAAAATTATTGAAGATAAAACTTGTGTTGCCCATGCTAGAAAGCATGAAGTTGAGCTGTTGCACGTGCTTCGTGTTCTGTGACATCAACTACAAAACAATTGGTTCTAGCATGGAATACCTCACATGAGACGGTGCTACATTTTCAATGCTGAAAGCTACATTCCCCATGAGTTCTTGACAGCCAGCATTAAATGTGGATGTCATTTTGTGACTTGCGTACTTGAAGTTTTTCTGTATGTCACGAATTCGCGACGCTCAGCAGTGAAGGGTTAATTACTGAAGCTCACTCAAAACAAAGCATTATGATTTTCTTTCTCGGAATGTAACACTGATTACTTTGGGATTATGTCATGCGAGTTCGATGCACCTCCAGAAAATGCATCATAATTCGCGACTGAAAGGGATACATAGCTGTGAAAACTAATTGAATATAGAGGGCAGATGTGCCTGCATAACTAAATGTGCCTAAAGTAGTGTAGACACTGAAATTGGGCATTAACTTGACATGAAATTGACTGCAGCATGTACTTTGCATGCTTGTGAGGAATGCTGTGACAAGTTTTGACTGGGAAGTAATGACCTAAAGCTTATTATTTTCAATTTTAATTCTAGAAGTCTAAGTGTGGCTCCTTTTCCATGCATCACAATAACCATTGGCAAAAATTTCAAAAGAGAGCTGTGAAAGGTGCGATGTTAGAGGTGTGTACAGCGAATATGATGACCGTGACCATCTGTAGCATGAAAATATTTCAGTTTCCAATTGCAATCAATCAAAATATAAATGGATTTCCCCCTGCATTCCCCCAATGCAGATAGTGACGATGTTATGGTATTTTCACCAGGAGATGCAGCTGAGCGTTTCAGTAGTGCTAATGGCGGAAAGTGCAGATACACGTGCATGAGGTAACATACGGCTGGTCAGTTCACTTGCACCACAGCTATGGTAGTCTTCCTCATGTTTCTTTCACGGGATTACTCAGTTGTGTCATCACACGGAGATTTTCCACTTCTAAGCTGTTTTTGAAATCTTCATTTGAAGCTTTTGGTGTGTGTGCTTGAGAATGTATTCTCGCAGTTGTAAAGCTAGTGTCGTCCTTTGGGCATTCCCTCTGATCATGATGATTTAAGGGGAAGTGCTGCTCGAAAAAAAAAAAGTTTCCTTGTTTTGTAGCTCAGGGCAATGAAATTAATGCTGTTTATCAGGGTGTTTCAGCTAAAAAACACCAAGTAATAAAAAAATTTAACAGTGCTACTCGTCTCCAATCAGCACAGTATTGTTTGAGCCATATCTCATTTAGTTTAAGCTATTTTGGTCATAGGTACAGCTTGGTGAAAGTAATTGTTTTTGTTTCTATTTTCCCTCTATGAAAATGCGGTATTGGGCTGGTGTGAATATGGCGTGAATCTATTCCTGTTGCATTTTATTGACCATGGCTATACATATTTTGTTTGCACTGGACCAAAACAGTCTGCGTGCTTGTTCTGCATCGGTGGCTATCGGTGACTACCATCAACGTTAAGCGATAATACCGATTAAAAAAAATTGACGAAATAGCAGCCACTATGTGCGAATATGATTAAACGAGACCAGAGGCAGCATTCGATGCAGCACAAGATTTTTTTCTTTTCAGGCTAACGACAAACATTTCACCCTCTCCCTCTTTATTATATTTCTCGTTCGTTTGAAAAGAAAAAAAAAATGCTTGGTGGATTGGAAAAAATATTACGATGTGCTCTATATGGCTCAAATACTGTGCTACTTTCAGACTCGTAGCTCTCATGTTTAATTTTTTTTATTACTTGGTGCTTTTTAGCAGAAACACCCTGTTGGCTTTAATGCTGATTTGAAATATGTACTCAGTTTTATAGTAAGTTGCATAGCTTTTGTTATGGACCTTGTTAGTGTGTAAAATATACCTATTTCTGGACCCACATTTCCTGCCACTGAACTTTTATGAGTCATTAATGGATCATATTACTCCACATTAACTGTATAGTGCAAATAACTAACAAGAAAATCTAAATAAAATGTATTAATGCACATGAAAATTGTAATATGTAAAGTCTTCAAATGGTCAGCCCATACTAATCATTTACTTTAAGTTGTATAATTATACAAGTGATATAAGGTTTGATAAAAGTTAATTGCACTCTACACATGTTAAGGAGTATGTGTGAAAGATTAACTTGGTTGTGGCCACCAAAAGCATTTAATCAAAACCTTGAACTCAGGAAGTTGCCCAAAATTTTTCATCTTGAGAAAAATGCATTCGAAACAGAAGAATGAAGGTGCATTTATTTGGCAATGATATGCTTTTTAAAATGACTTCTTCCATCATGAAAGAGTGGAAACTATGGTTGTTTTGAGCATGTGGCTTTATTGAACTCCTCATGTGAAATGCAATGGCAAGCAGCCTGCTCACAATTTCCAGGGGACTCTAGACAATGAGCTCTTCTTAGTTTTCAATAGGTACCTTGTGCTCGAAGTTATTTCAGCCTACTTGTAGTTTAATTTCAACCTTAAATTTTTTTTACCATGGAAGTAAATAAACTCAATGTGAAAGCATGTAAACAAAGATGTAATTTTTTAAGAACATGGGTTTTTCGAGTAGCCTCCCCCTTTAACGTGTCATTGCACGAGTTTCATGTTTTATAGGTCTACATGTGTCACTAAAATCTTACAAGAACAGTTTTAATGAAGACATTTAAAACAAAATGCTGACCGCAATAAAAGCAAGATGTTTCAGCCCCTGAACGGGAGCCCTTTTTTTTTTTTCATTAGTGAACAAGACTCCCATACAGGGGCCGAAACGTCTTGGTTTTATTTGCTTTTATCGTGGTCAGTATCTTGTTTTGATTGCTTTCACATTTGGTCCTGACCAGACGGGTTTCTGTACAAGTAGCAATTTAATGAACAGTCTTGCTCATCAAAATGCAGTAGGCATCACTGAAGTAGGCTGCAGGGAGTGGGTGGCCCCAGCAGTATGAAAATAGATTAAAGGTGCAGTGGTTGTTAAGTAGGCGACAATTGCATGTGACCTTGGTTTATTCCGAACAAGGCCACCTTTCGAAATGTTGCACAGCAAAAATAGAGAAAAGAAGGAAAACAAAAAGAATTCAGGTTGGATAATGTGAACGGGATACGTTTTCTCTGCTTTGGCACATGAGAGAAAGAAAGCTGCTGGCAGACACTAGCCATGGCAGAATGAGAGAGCTTTCATTGAAAGTTGCACTTGCATCCAAGCAGTGTGTTAATGGGATGGTTGAAAATCTCTCCCAACCCCTCTAGTGATGAACCTATCATTATTGTGATAAAAAGCACCCCGAAGGACTTCTTATGTGTGAGTAAATAAGTGAGGCCGGGTAAAGAGCACTAAAAAACCCACGATTAGAAATGTAATCCTCAGACAATGTGTTGTAGTGTTAAGAATGTGTTTTGTTGTAATAAAGGTACAAGTGAAATTGCTAATTTGCAACTGTACACTGTTGCCCTTATGAAAGGGAACACACGAACGCATGGCCTGCACTGTGCAGCAGCTGCCTACAGCACCATCCACCGACAGCAATAGAAAACACGTTCGCTCTTAGCGTCATCTGTTGCAAAAAAAAAAAAAAGAAAGAGTCATGGCCATTAGAAGCGTTGCTAGATTGCACTCCCTCTTTGCTTGCACAAAGGGTGATGATGCCTGCCGTGCGTAGTCTACTGCCAACGTATCAAACGTTGTGCGCGACCACGGCGCAAGCTGCTGTAATAGCCTGATGTCGCTCGCCGTGCGAGCGGTGATGGAACGTAATCTAGCAGCACTTGTCTACTGGCCGCGGCTCGTCTTCTTTTTTGGCAATAGATGACGCCAAAAGTGAACGTGTTTTCTTCACCTGTCGGTTGATGGTGCTGTAAGCAGCCGCCGCAGAACGCAGGCCACGTGTTCGCGTGTTCTCTTTCATAAAGAACGACAGTGTACATACATACAACAAGAAATCTGGTCTAGGCAGTCTACGTATTGTCATCTTTGTAACTTTTCCTATCCTACTCCGGCCCTCCTATACTGTGTGTTCTGCACATAATTATGAAGCCAAAAGTGAAACATCATGTGGCAGCTTTTAGCTGTGGTCATTTGGAGCGCAGCTATATGACAACTATTATTATGCTTTAGAAATCACATCATTATTCTTGTTTTTTGGCTTTCTGCTGTAATTTTTTGCAACTATAACTGTAGCAGGCATGGCATCATCCAATGCATGTTACTTTTCTAGAGTATGCTTAATGCTCAGGCAATGTAATGCATGGTGACTAATTGCCCTAAAACCTTGTGTACTTGTCTGATTTTGGAAAATGCTTTTTTATCGATACTTGTACTTGCATGTCTTGACGCATCTTGATTGAAACAAAACGTTTTTTTTTTTTTTTTTGGTGTAGGAGTACAGTATGGGTTTCTCTATTATCCAGGAAGTGGAGGAGCTTCAGAAGAAGCCAAAGATCTAGTCACACCCAACATCTGTGGACTCAGCGCACCCATCATGCATCATATTTCTGTTGCCTGTAACTTATTGCGGACTGATTTTCGCTGCGATACATACGCCGCAGTTTTCATTGAAAGGTTTTTTTTTTTTTAAACAAGATCAGTGCTGATGTTCATTGGGAGTGGTCCACTGTATAAGGTACCACTTCTGACAGCGCATGTAGTCCTTGTTTTCTTTCTTTTTATTCCTACTTTCATAATTCATTTTCCTCCCATTTTATTTAAAAGTCGTTCATGAGTCTTTAATGTTGTGAGACACTCATAGGTGCGCATTGTATTTGTGATACTGTTGACAAGGCTTGAGCAGAATCTTGACCATGTATCTGAGACTGTGCATCGTAGTTCTGTGTAAGTGCTAGAAATAAGCACGAGCTTAGTCCTATGGGTCCCTTGAACCTGCTGCAGTGTTCATGTGCGCCCACTGTTGCAGGCACAGCGTTACTGCAAAACAAGTGCCGCACCTGCTGCATGGCCAATCTTGTTTCTGCTAAAATTGTTCCTGTTACTTCTAGCTCGCAATGATTCCTGTTTGGATATCTGAAATTCAGTTCCATATAGTAGATGTTGTGACTCTGTGGTCCCCTCATTGTGGTTTCTGTAACTTGTGTATTGTGTTAGTTTCCATAGAAACATCTAACTAAGCTTTAAGTGTGCATACACTGTGATTTTTGTGCAACATAGAAATGAATTATGGCATATTAGTCATACTGACAGTTTTGCTGCATTTCTGTGATTTGCATATGTTGTAGAGTGAGTGTGCGTGTGTGTGCGTATTCAAGAATCTCACTTAATTTAAGCTACTGGGGTCAGGGGTACAGTGTGGTGAAAGTAATTGTTTTTTGTTTCTGTTTTCCCTCTATATCAAAATTTGAACTGGTGTGAATAGGGCATGAACCTATTCCTGTTGCATTTTATTGACCATGGCTATCATATTACTGTACATATTTTGTTTGCATTGGACCAAAACAGTCGACATGCTTGTTTTGCATTTTCTTCTGGTGGACTCTTCTCAACGACACTTGAAGAATGTATGTTGACTAAATATAACAGTTGTTCGTTGTCAATCGGTTTAAGTATGCATGGTCTGCACCCCATGTTCGCTCTTAGCAGTGTTTTCATTGTTCATAGCACAGTGTTGTGAGCCATAACTGTCTTGCTAAGAGTCATTCGGTTAGAAACTACTGTAAAGCAGGTGTATAGGGAAAAGATTGTGTTGTGCTTAAAGGGACATTAAAAGCAACAATTAAGAAGACAACGTCGCCCGGCATAATATTGTCGTTGTAGGCGTCATACATTGAGCTTTTACCCTCACATAAATTTTTATTTGGCTTTAGTGTCCCTTTAAAGTGCAGCTGGTAATTTAATGTTCCTACTATATTGGCTTGATGGGTACACTGTATAAACAGCTTATAAAACATCATGACTCATTTGTATGAGTGGTTTTCTTGAATTAGATTCTGTCGGCTTTAGCTGACAGTGTCCCTTTAAAGTGTAGCTGGTAATTTAATGTTCCTACTATATTGGCTTGATGGGTACACTGAATAAACAGCTTCTAAAACATCATGACTCATTTGTACGAGTGGTTTTCTTGAATTAGATTCTGTCGGCCTTAGCTGACAGAACCTACAGAGGGAGGTGTAAGTGAAACTCATCATGATAGTACATATATAATTTTTCCCAAGAGTACATTTGGTAGCATATGAATACCATTCTTATCCTTTGTCTAAAAGTTGTAGACAAGTTTTAATACCTTATAAAATGCCAGGGCTGCTGTACAACTGATGCATGTTTCCATCTAATCTAGTAAGCATGCTGTGATAATGTCTCATCGATGTGGTCATTGTAACTTAAAACATTGAGGGGGAGGAGAACAAGGTGTGTCTTTTCTTGTATTCATTGCTTTTGCTTGCTTGTGTTCCTTGCCAAATTGAAGCATTTTCATAGGAATCCTTGTGGTTACTGGCACAGCCAAGTGGCATGGCTTAGGGGGCTTGGACACCCAAAGGATAATGTTGCTGGTGGTCGAGGCAAGACATGCGTCATTAGCTACCATTTATATACCGTTGAGGTGCCTATCCCTGAGAATTTCTTTACAGTATTTCCAGGTGTTAGGAAAACGTGCTTGAAAGTTGCATTGATTGCATTCCTATGGCCTATAAAGGCACCACAACTAAGCTCTTGAGAAGTACTTGAGGCAAGAGAACAGTTTAGGCTGTCTTACAAGGTACATTGACTTCATGTCCATTTGATTTGGTAATTTAGCTACTGAAAATTGTTTCATTGAAGAATGAACATTCACCATGTAATGATATGCTCGTCTCGCACGTGTCTTTGCATACTTTCAGCACAATTCGCACCAATAATGGGAAGTGTTTTGGGACTACTGTTGTACAGAACGACGTTCCTGGATCTTGTTCCTTTTGGAATGAACAGAGGAACACCACCATTCCATTCAGGATCGGTGGAACTATAATGGTAACTTGTTATGTTTACGAAATAATGGTAGAGGGAACGGTGTTCCTTCTGTAAACATTTCACGGCATTCAAAAGACAAACGCACACAGTACATCGTGCAGAACAGGGTGGATGGGCGTAAGGCTCAAAAATCTACCGCTTGCCTGTAGGTGATAATGCATCCTGGTTTTCACGTCACAGAGCCCTCCAAAGGTGCTGGGCAGCAAAAGACACAGAGACTGACCACGTGCGGCAGGAACAGATCTTTTTCAACATGTTCACATGAACTGGCGCACACTCTCTTCGTCCCCCTTTTCGATTTCTGTTCCGTTCTTGGTACACATACAAATGCCAATTTGTCCGGCATGAGATGCAGTAACTCTGATGGCCAAGGGAACAAGTAAAGCGAGAGTGAATGAATGAGATATAAACGAAATTCTCAATGAGGCAAGATTCGAAACTGCTTATCAGTGATTTGGAGGCGAGCGTCATAACCACTTGGCTATCCAGATCTTTTTTTTTTCCTCTCTTCCATGGGATTTGTTCATAGGCATGATGCCTTGAAGCAATTCAATACAGGCAAAGAAATATAACGTGTTTATTTCGCTTGTATCGTGACCCAACAGTGAACACATAGTGCTAAAGAATTCCCATTCATCTCTAGAGTGAATAGAACAAGTGATGGTCTTTTCCAAATATACACAGAACAGCGTTAAAGAGAAACCCACCACCAGTGCAATATAAACCATTCTGGCTGACTTTCCGTTTGCTTGTATACATCTCTTAGCTTAGTGACCGTTCTTATGGCCTTGGATGTAAAAACAGTGCAAAAAATAATTAGCCCAACTTTCCTTTCGGGTGAATTCTGATAAACTAGGATATTGAGGGAATTATTGGCGATGCCTTTCTCCGTTACATGCGTACACGCTAGCAAGGTGTAGCATTGTATAGTATGGTTTGTCAATCAGCTGGGGAAGGAAAGTGAGTATGAGGAGAATTAAAAAAAAAAGGAGAGAACGAGTAAATAGGGCATATCATAGAAATCAAATAGCACCGTCGAAAATTGAAAAGGTTTAAAAACATTAAAAATTAAGTTTCGCCTACCAACACCATGTGGTTGCATGGTGAACGTTCTGCTGTGGTGCGCTCTCTTGGGATCAACGGGCATTTTTGCAAACCAGGCCAAAGCACGGTAGGTATGTAGGAACCAGTTGTGCATTATTAGAGTGCTTTGCCAATGCATTTCTGGCACTTGCGGCTATGATGAATTATAATACTGCATGCACAATTTTTGTGCACCCTTTTGGGCATGTCATCTCCAAACAATCTATCCCCCATGTCTTCCTTCCTTCACTGCTGTGGTTCTGGCACTTGCTGGTCAAGAATGTCAAGTTTGTTATTAGCTCTTCAAACACGTGTAAAACTACTGAACATCACTACTGAACTATGAACGTGCCCCCACTTCTGGTGCTGAGACATGCCCCTTAATAGCAGGGTTGCAGAAAATAGTTCCTTCTCCTTCCTACAATCACTTTCTCTCTCTCTACTGACTGCTTTTCAGGTGTTGGCACCTCACCCAAGACAATAGACCATTTGAAAAAAATCTGCAAGGCGGCTTTTCTGCAAGGTTATTTTTCACAAAAATAAACATGTGCACAGACAGGTTTCCTCGCTCACTTTGCTTGTACAGCGCCTAATTCCCTGAGATGATGGCACGCGAATTCGACAAAACGACAAATTGTCCCCTACAATTAGTGTGGGTTTGTCCCGCCACGTACGAAGCCTAGGAAAGCATGGTGGACGAGGCACCTGCCTTTCGTAAAGAAGTGGGCGGGGGTGGGGTGAATGTAAAAAACAATAATTAGTGAGAAAAGCAGTTTGTACACGAGAAGTGGGGCAGTTTGGGCTAGTTGGTATGAGAACAGAACGACGACAAAGAGACAAGAAGTGTTAGCGCCCGTCTCCTTCTTGTCTCTTTGTCGTCCTGTTCTCGCGCTGTAACTATCGTCTTGTATACGAGCTTTTGGTGGGAAAACAACATTGCATGAAAGCCGCCTAGCAGATTTTCGCACATGGTGATGTAATCGGCAGTAAAAGTTTCTTTTGCATATCTATTTTCTAGTTAAACAATTATGTACTGTCTTGTACACGAGCTTTTGGTTGGCAAACAACATTGCAGGAAAGCCGCCTAGCAGATTTTTGCACGTGGTGATGTAATCGGCAGTAAAAGTTTCTTTTGCATATCTATTTTCTAGTTAAACAATTATGTACTGTTGATTGAAATGCAAATAGTAGGGCGTTTTCGAACAGCGTACCGCAATCCTTTGCGTTGCGGTCGTGAACTCGTATGGCGCTGCGCATTTGGTGTTCTGCCGTAAGAGACATGGTTAGTTGCGTGAGGGAAAAAAAAAAGACGAAGAAGGTCGGAAATGCGAATCGAACCGCAACCTGCGCAGCGCTAGTTAAATAACGAGTAGAACAGGGGTTTCCAATCATGTAATCGCTGGACGCTACTCGAATCACGTCCGAAAATTTCACTGACATCGTGGCGCTGCAGTGCTGCCCGCGCGCTGCGTCCGAGCGCGAGAGCGATGACGACAGCACAGACGGCACGTACCAACCGTAGGGGCAGCACTGTCGCTTCTCAACCGCGCTGCGAGTAGGCTGACGTTCGAGTCTCCGAGTGGGCTGACGTGTTGTTTGAGTTTTCTGGCTCCGAGGCGCCCTAGCCGCGCTGCGACTGGAGAAAATGGAGGCGTCTTTCAACATGAATGCGTTCGTCAACTCTTTCAGCAACCGTCTGTAAGTATTCAAGCTCTGATTTTTCTGTGTGAGGGACACGCGTTCGATCTTCTTCTTCGAACATCGCTGACTCATCAGGCGTAGGCTGTGAATTCGATACTACATATATTCCATAGCAGCTTGTTTATCGACGTCATTTCTCTGCTGGACCTTTGCCCGCTCCTTGTGTAAACGTTTGTCATATATAGGTTGTGCGCAATTTGTGCTCGATACGTGACAGTAGGTCGTCTTGAGATTAGAGCGGCCATTTTCACCCCTGATAAACGTTGGGTTGCACTTTGTCAGCAGTACGTAGGACCCGTTCATCTAGCCGTTGCGGCCCTGCGCTTCGTACTTTTAGTTGTCTTCAGTTCAGGCATTAAGCACCTGAGACCATTAGGTGCGTCGTTCGCGAGCGACTTTGCACTTACGTCTTCTAAGGCATGTGCAGCGTTCTTTCCCGATAAATGGCATTTTGATCGCCCTAGAACAGCAAAGACGAAACTACGTTCAAGCCTAGTAGGCAAGCGACTAGATTCACGGGTTGTTGTCACAAAAACATTGAATTTCCTCTAATGGCGGCGGAAAATACGAGCCGCAAGGTTGCTGCCTGCAAGGATCCGGGACTTTCCGGGAAATGTACTTACGGTTGAAGGAAAGACTTGTTCTCGAATTTTTCGCGATGGCAGCCTTGGCTTCATCGCCCAAGTGGATTGCAGCATGCCTTATCGGTGATAATTCAGTCGTTCGACGGTGTTTCTGGGCCACCAATATCTTGTCTGGAATCGTTACACGCGCGTGAGCTAGTATTCTTGATTATCATGGTAAGACGGTGTCCATTTCTAGTGCTCTTCTGCAGGCGCCCTAAAGCCGGAACTTTAAAACATTTTAAGGGTTTGCTGCCAGCTACAAAATACTGTCACAGCCATTTTTTTTTTTCTCATTTAATTCGGACGAGGTCGCGCTACAGGAACAAGCAAAATGTGCTGACGTAGATGGCCTTTTCATTCCGATGCAATATCCGTTTACGTCAGGGAGTCCAGGTAGAAGTGCGGCAGCTTGGGCTAGTTGGTATGACATGACGATAGTTAGAGCGCGTGAACAGAACAGAACGACGACGAAGAGACCAGAAGGACACGAGCGCTCGTGTTCTTCTTGTCTCTTAGTCGTCGTTCTGTTCTCGCGCTATAACTATCATCATGTCTAGATAGCTTGCGGGCATTTAATTTTTCTTGTTTTCTTAAGTCTTTTTTTAATTCAGTGCTGCTTTTTATTGGTGCTCTAGCTATTCAGAAGTAATTTTAAACATAACATGTCAGACTGCTTCATTC